GGAGAGAAGGGTCCGGATCCGGCCCAGCTTGGAGCGTGCATTCATGCGGTGCTGTGGGGTGGACAGCGCGCCCCTCAGGTGTGTGTGGTACTCCTCCAAGTAGCTCTCCACGGCTGCGGGGAAGACGAGAGGGGCAAAGGGCAGCAGGGCAAGCCCTCGGACCGCCCTGGTGCTGCTGGAGCTGGCCGGAGGGTCAGAGTCGCTCGTGTCCGCCTCTGGCTGCGTCCGGGCAGGAGTATGGCCAGCGTTGGAAGCAGGACCAGGAGAAGGAGGAGGAGGAGGAGAAGAGGCGTTGGAACCAGGAGGCGGCGAGGCGGGCAGAGAACCAGGTCTGTGGGAGCGAGGCGGAGAATCCCTACCGGAAAGTGGCTCTGGAGCGGTCCGCTGCGGTGTCCCCGGAGAAGAGGAGACATCTCCGTCCTCCCCCGGCGATTCTGGGGCCGGTGGCTGCCGCTCCGAGACGTCCAGCTCGGATGCTAGCTGTGGCGTGGGCTCCGTGGACCTCAGCTCTGCCAGCGCGCGGAGGGTGGCCCTCCAGTGCAGAAGGCGGAGGTGGTCCCTCACGGCCCCGATGTCCAGCTCCTTGTGACCCGCGTACAGGTGCCGGTCCACTCTCGGACCTCTGTAGTTGCACCCCCGGACGGGACAATCCAGACCCCGGACGTTGACCCGTCCGTGGGCAAATGCCAGGAGGATTTTCCGCTCCTCCTTGTTCAAAACGTGGTGAACCCTTTCTAAATGCTTCGGCAGCTGAGCAAACTTACTGCAGCAGATGGGACAACGTCTGTAGGGTCCTTGGTGTGGCATCTGGAGGCTTCCCTGGTGCTCAAAACGTGGAGTAGAAGCGTCTCTGTCCGGCTGCCGGTTGCTGGAATGAGCAGGTGCAGCCTATTGAGGCCAATTACCTCCAGGGGAACGGCGGGGCGCTGCCGCTGCCCTCCAGCCAATCAGTGCTCAGGCTTGCCCTGGCAGCGTGAGCGGAGCCAGGGCAGCGCTCAGGCTTGCCCTGGCAGCGTGAGCGGAGCCAGGGCAGCGTCAACCGTGGACTTTTGCCAATCGCCATAAGGTGGGTCAGGGGTCAGATTTAGGGCTAAGGGATGAATTGAGTTTTGATTAGGGATAGGGTTAGGGTTAGGTATGTGATGGTTAGGGTTAGGAAAAGGGTAAGTTTAGGCTGTTGAAATGAATGGAAGTCAATGGAAAGTCCCCACAAAGATAGCCAGACAAACATGTGTGTGTGTGTGTGTGTGTGTGTGTGTGTGTGTGTGTGTGGGTGTGGGTGTGAGTGTGTTTGCCTTGTGAACTTGAGCTCAGCTTTCAAAGGTTTTAATTAAGGATTTAACAAGTGGGCAATTACTTGTTTACCCAGAGGACCAGGTTAGTTTGGCTTTTTTCCCCTTAATCAATAAAATCATGAGAACCATCATTACAATTTGTTTGATGATCTGAAAAATTTGAGTGTGACAAAAAAAATTACTTTTTTATGCCTCTGTACCTCAAACTATTTTCAATAAAACACTAATTTAAACACATGAATAAAGGTTGCGACAGGTTTTATCATGTAATGTATCATTTTACATGGCAAACCGTCACATTCTGAAGGAAGTTTTCTACCTAAATAGGATTTTATAAGGACATGTAAGTTTAAATAGACAAAAAATTACTATGAAGTGAAAAGAATGCAGTTTAGATGTTGCATTAGAACTTATAAATGACAAACACATATGAAGCCCAGGGGTTTGAAATGTGCACAGTAAGCGACTCATTGTCTTGCCTGAGGTCACACTTCCAGTTTGGAATGATTGAGCATCAAACGAACATCCGTGGGACTGAGACCCCAACAGCTCCTTTTATCATGTTTTTCTTTTTTTCAATTCCAGGGACATTGTGTACAAAAAAAAAATCTGACAAAAACATAACTAATTTCCTTTCATATGTATTTTTTTTCTATTGTATGGAATTTAAAGTTGTGCATTTCGTTGTTGGTTTTTAAACAAGAAAACAAAAGAAAATGGTGAGCTTTGAGTTTCATTAGCAACAAGTATTGTTGAAATCAAGACAGGATTTCCGGTAACCATGATTCATCAGAAGTGAAACAGAAGAGCAGAGAGTTTGTGTGAGATGAAAAGACTGAGTGAAAACTGCTATAAGAAATGCCCAACAACACATCAATGTTGCTCAAGTAAATTGGCTTCTTTTCTTTCTTTTTTTTATTTAATGAATGCCTTTTTAACTTCTTCTACTTCTTCTTTTGTCATCCTGAGAGACAACTATCTGTAAGCTTATGGCTCCCAGAGCCCGACGGCCTGCATAACTCTTCCTTGTCTGACACTGTACTGTCATATCCTGCCGAGGCTTCATTAATTCCCCATCCCGGAATCAATGACTTGCCTTTGTAACAGATTTGCAGTCTCAGGCACTTTCTTTCTTGCTCTTTCTCTCTACGTCTTTCACTCTCCCTTGCTCTCAGTGGTTCAACCTCAAGGGAAGAGATGTGAAGATGAATGACAACAAGGTCATTTTACCACAAGCAGAAATGTCCGGCGTGTGATAGAAAGCGCACGTTTTTTGTGTGAATGTGTACAAACTTCTGTACGTGTAGTTAAACTAAAAACAAGTTGGATTCCTGTGGAATATATGTGAATCCGTCTTGTACTGTTGGTTTTGTGACGGTATTAAAAATGTGTGGTTTTGTGTGTCATGTGCTGCCATGTGTGTTTGCATACATTGAGTGTGACATCTCGGCAAATAGTGCTGTAGCCTTAGAACTCTCTCTGACACTGTAAGTTATTGTCATTTGCTGGAAATCTGAAAGGGGCAAGGTTTTTCCTGAAATATTCCATGACCTTTAGACTGAAATGCCACTTTTATTTTGGGTCAGGTGATTGCTTTGTGGGCTACAGCTCTACCTATGACATTTTTCCCCTTTACCTAATAATTATGAGTAAATTCTTGACCTAAACTGTAATCTGATACCTAGACTAAATATATTTTTTCAATCTATTACAGTTTTAATTCATCTTTTTTTTCTTAACCCTTGTGTCTACAAACGGGGTCCAACCGACCCCATACACGTAAAACTTGTATCATTTGCCACAGTCCTCTACGTTTGCCTCAGTCCTTGCACGCACAAGGGTTAACCAAGTTCAAAATGTGTTCAAGGTACAGACTTGCATTATGATACCTGATATGACACCTGTTCTTAATCCTCCTGTGGTCTTAAGAGAGACATTTAGACCAACATGTTTTTTGCTCTGTGTGCAGCCCAGTGAGATTGCACTGACCCCAGGTGTGCTTTTTCAAGTTTTTTTTTGTGTGGTTTGGGGAACTGACAGTCTGACGGGACAACCCCCTACTTCCCTGCTGTTAGACTGTGACATTTGCTATGCTCCTCCTGAGCATCGTGCTAATACTGATACAAATGTTTCTCAGAAAAGTTATACAGTAAATTTTTACTTTCATTGTTAGAGAATCTTGTTGTTCTGTCAGACTATTTCTCAGTAATCCGACAGAAAGGGGGTTGAGAGAAGGGGAGCAACATGTAGGGCAAAGGACCCAAGGACAGAGTCTTTATAATTTAATAACCCTCAAACGTTTTCACATTTTGCCACACTACCAGCACAAACACCTGTACTGGCTTAAGTAGAAATCAGATCCAGAATACAGACCACACCCAGTAAAGGTTAAGTGAGTATTTTTTGATTATTATTATTATTAGAAAACCAAAACTGCAAGATGGTTGGTAACTTCTTGGGTTCAGTTTTCAGATCAGTGTTTGTGAAAAAGACAAGGGTGAGTGACTGGCAGCTCAAATAGAAGTCTTGTGTCAACAGGATGAGGTGGCTTACTGGCAGACATCCTCTGGAGACTTGGACTTCAGCAAACTTGAATCCTGGAGGTTGTAACTGATGAAGTTTGGCATGCTGTCCTCTTACTGGAGATTATTTCACCCGTGGGACATATAGAGAAGTGAACTGCATATGCAGAACCAGAAAGGATATTGTTGGGGAGAGTGGAGGCTCCAGAACAGGGCAAGTTTATGAAAACTCTTTAATGGTCAAACAACGGGAGTGTCAGAACTTGTGTCCATATTCTGGTACCTCTGTTTTCTGTTTAGCCCTTTCTTTTCTGTTACAATCACCACTTAACTTGACCCTGCCTACTTCTTACTGATTTATGTCCTCCCCAACCAGAAAATCCATGTATTTATCCATATGAAAATAAGATGGAGATAGATGGATCTAAATACAGAACAATACTGGAAGCTGTAAACATACAGCCGGTGTTTTGATAGGATGGTTTAGATCAGAATGAGACCTAATCAAAGTTTAGTTCTAAATGCACTTGAGAATCTGTGAATAGTGAAAAATGTATATAAGCCACAGTATTTTAGGTTAGCAATGCTTCCAAAAATGTATTTAATTAAATTCTTCTAAGAATACAACTAATTAAAAACTGTTTAATTCAGTATATATCTGTAATAACATCACAGTATTATTGCAAATTACACAAGTTCCCCAGAGAACAGCAACAAAAGGAACATTCCCATGTTTAATTCCTGCTTAAGTTTATAGAATTAGGATGTGAGCAGACAGGCCATTATCTCAGAGTCTAATAAATCCCACCTGTTTGTTAACTAACAGCCCCATTACCTTACCGCTGCCCCAGAGCCGATTTATCTGCAACCACTGTTATGTCACTGCATCTGCGACTGCCGGTGTGAAGTGATAATGAAATATCACATTCTTCCTCCTTTTTTAAAATTGTTTGCCCACTCCTCCTTCTATCCCATTTAGAGGGGGACATTTAAGAGCAAAGCATGGCAGCGGGACCCCAGAGTTATCAGTCAAAACCGAAGGGAGCGATACTGAAGTAGGACCCGTCTCTTGTTCGACCCTGCTGTTTGTCAGGAGACTCAATCAATGCGTAATTACCTCAGATGAGTATCATAAAAAACAATGCCACGAGCCCTTTCAAGGTTACCCCTCCATCCCATCACAATTGTGTTATTTATAAATATGGAACGGTTGTAAATGCGGCTGGCGAGCTGGATGACGGTAACGGCTGATGGACGTGATATATTTCCAATTTGCACTGTAGAGATCTCAGAAGACAGGTCGATGCAGCTAAGAGCTGCTCTCACTGCGGCTAATAACACTGATAATGAAGGTTCGTGCTCGAGTCTGGCTCTCAGGTAAAACAGATAAGAACCTTGAATTCGTTCAACCACATTTAATATGTCAGCAGTTCCAGTGATACGCTGATATTTCATCCATTCTCAGCATGGAAATGTGAAAGAGTATGAAGGGAAAGGGATACAATAAATTCTCAAATAATTGCCTGAATCGTTTTTGTTAATATTTTACTCAGCCCAACAATAATTCTGTTTAATTTAGTGTTTATAATGACTTACTATAATAAAATGGACCGGTTGCAAGCAATAAACTGATTACAAGTCTATTTGCTCACTGGTAGTCAGAGTTTGTTTGTCCATTCAGATTTGGGGTAGCTATCTCCAATAGCAGCCATGTTTCCATTAGAAGTCCTTGTCTAATGTCGAAAAAACACAACTTCCATTAAATAAACAATACAATTAAAATGACTCTTGAATAAGATTGTTCACATGATAAGGTTTTGAAATCAATGCTCTCAAGACAGATGTGACATGAGATATTCATAAATCAGCCATGGTGGTGATAGCACTCTTCATCTATCAGCCAATCAGAGGAGACATCTGTGTTTTATTCAGGCTTTGGAGCGACAAACCTTGTACACATGGGAGTGAACACATGCGCCGTTTTGGGGAAATTGTAGTCAGTGATTTTACAGAAGAGCTTTGGATTCAACACTTCATAATGCCACATGACTTTTTGTGAATGGTGTGAAGCTGTGAGAGCTCTGGTGGAGCCAGCTGCACATTGTCAAAAAAAAAAAAAAAAAAAAAAAAACCATCATCCTTCATCCACTTCCTGTGTCGTCTCTGTTCTTTTTACCAGTAGTAACATCTGGCTGTTGATCACTCATGTGATTAAAACATTTGTTTATATTTAGCTGAAAAAGTCC